TCCGTCCTGTCGAGGACTCTTGGTCCGTGGTTTTACCGCTAAGGCATGCAAAACATAATAGTACGCCTCCCCCCCAATCTCCCTTTGCCCACACGTTGTCAGAACCGCTCGGCAATGGCTGTGGGATACGATGGGGGAGGACCCCAAGGTTGCGATGAAGCACCTGGCGGCGTGCGCTAGCGAGTCGGCCTCGGAGAGGGTCACCGCCTTCGGGATACCCAAGGTCTGACATCTGACGTTTGTTGTAATCGTTGTTGTTGTTGTTGTTGTTATTCTTTGTTTTACTCGCGTGGTACCCTTAGACTACTTCTGTTGTACTCTGTGACTGGCGCTTACCGCGGAGTGTTATACCGTATACTCCGTATGACATAAGATAACACACCCCCATCGACCGATTTTCAAAGCTCGATTTCTCAACAGCAGGGAGAGTCACAGCGCCGAAAACGGCGGCGTTGGAACCTTCTGGTCGAGAGCTTTTCGAAAATGTATCATTTCGTTAATGCATCCTCTTCGTCGTGGAGTAATCGAGCTTTGAAAATCGGTCCAGGGGATATGTTTCCTTGTGTCATATACGGTAACTTAACGCGTTTATTGCTTCATGTACAGGGCTCGATATTGTTTTTTATTGTGTGTCATTGTTTTTTTTTTCGCAGGACCGACTGTTCCCACGTCAAGACCAACGTAGTTCTTTATGTGTATCGTAGGACTATTTTGTCGTTTGCTTCAGTCTGTTGTTCTCTCTCTCATTCGTCGATTTTTGTTTTTTCGCAGGACCGGCTGTTCCCGCTATGGGACTGGGTTGGTGGCCGCTACTCGGTCTGTTCGAGCGTAGGGGCTCTCCCCTTGAGCCTCAAGTACGGCTTCCAGCAGTTCGACAGCTTCCTGGCAGGTGGGTTGGTTGCTTGTCGTTTGGAACCTTTCTTATTTTAGTACGACTTCCAGCTGCTCGACAGCTTCCGGGCAGGTAGGTTGGCTGCTTGTCGTGATTGAGTTGTTATTATTTTAGTGCGGCTCCCAGCAGTTCCGCGGCTTTTTGGCAAAAAAAGCGGGTCACTAATAATAGTCGCTTTTGATTGTGTACATATTTCCATTTTCTCCTCGTCCTGTTTTTTTTTTTTTTTTTGTTACAGGCGCCCGCAGCATGGACAGGCATTTCTTGCACGCGCCTTTGGAGAAGAACATGCCGGTGCTGATGGGGCTGCTCGGAGTCTGGAACATCTCCTTCATGGGGTACAAGACGAGAACCATATTGCCCTACGCGGAGGCCCTCCTTAAGTTCCCGGCGCACATTCAGCAGGTGCGTGAAATACTTTGACAGAAATTGCGCCAATTCCATACATGAAAGAGAACACAAATAGCAAAAATGAGAAATTGCGCACATTCGATAAAGAAAATAACAACAGAAATAGCAAAGAGGAGAAATTGCGCATGTTCGATAAAGCAACGAAGACAAACAGAAAAAAGTCTCGCTCATGTATTGTATGTGTCTCCCGCCATGTAGATTGTTGTCGTGTGCTTGGACAACGCGCACATAGAAGTGTCGCTGTTTGGTCAGTCGCACCTGTGAATTGAAGTTGTGCCGGTGTGTATCATCTTGGAGGATGAGGGTTGGGGTTCACGATCACTTTTTACCGCAGGCATGTCGACGTTGCCCAGAACGGGGGGGGCACACGCACCGCGTGTTGTGCTTGGAGAGGTCAACTCGTTCTCTGTACGAGATCAATTCGTTCTCTGTACGAGGTCAATTCGTTCTCTGTACGAGGTCAATTCGTTCTCTGTACGAGGTCAATTCGTTCTCTGTACGTGGTCAATTCGTTCTCTGTACGTGGTCAATTCGTTCTCTGTACGTGGTCAATTCGTTCTCTGTACGAGGTCAAATCGTTCTCTGTACGAGGTCAATTCGTTCTCTGTACGAGGTCAATTCGTTCTCTGTACGAGGTCAAATCGTTCTCTGTACGTGGTCAAATCGTTCTCTGTACGTCTTACGTCAGTTGTTTGTGGTGCGGTCTGTTGTGTTGCCGATAGTTGCTTCGTCTGAAGACAAACGACAACGACGCCAATAGCAAAAGCGGGTTTCCTGTTGCTGTAGCTCACGGGAGGGGTACTCGATTTGTCCGGAGTAGTCCTTGCCGGGAGTACCGCAATTCAGGATACACGGGCCCCCCAAAGGATAGGTCTACAGAGTTGCGATGTCTGGGCTCGATTGTAAACGCCGTGCATGGCCGTGAGTACCGCCTCGCCCCCCATGTATATGCGCGAAGTCTGTGATTGAAGTGCTTCATGAATAAGCATTCGCACACAAGATGGCGTTTCGAATCGTTTTCTGTTCGCTGCCGCACTGAGACTGACTTATTTTCACTGGTCAGCCGGTTAGCGCTGTCGATGCTATTAGTAATCTCACACATGCGCCCACACACACACGCACCCTATTTGGTTTTCATCCGCACTGAGACTCACGTCTGGCCATCGGTCCGGTTAGCGCTATAATACTTGATGCCATTAATAGTCAGTCACCCCCCCCCCTCCCCGTCCTTCTCCTGCCGGGCCCCTTTCACCTGCCTGCCCCCGAAACAACGCCTTCTTATTATCGTCATGATCATGATCTAGTTGGCGATGGAGAGCAACGGCAAGCGAGTCACCCGAAAAGGAGACAAGGTTTCCTACGACATAGGGCAGGTCGATTTCGGGGAGCCGGGGACGAACGGGCAGCATTCGTTCTTCCAGCTGCTCCACATGGGACAGGTGCGTGCGTGCGTGCGTTCGTCCCACATCTATTATGGCGACGGTTTACGTGTCAGCCGGGGTCACACAAGCGGGAGGTCACGCCAGTGGACCTTTTTCTTTCCTCTTTTTTTTTTTGTTTTTTTTGTTTTTTTTTCCCCACCTTTCTTTCCTCCTGCGGTGCTTGCCTTGGTATATTTCGCTTATTTCGCGAGAAGGGTCCATTGAGCCATCCCCTTCCCTCTTCGACCGTGAAGAAGCCGAAAGTGTGTTTACTCACGACCTAGATTGCTTTCCACTACAGGTTGCTGGACACACATCCCGGGAATATACACCCTCCGCGGAG